GGTGGTGTATCAGATCTTCACTGAGCATTCAGTACACCGCTACAGGGGTTTGTTACACACACACACACCATGTGTAGTCACATTCAGAGTTGTATGCTCAAAATACTCGGATGAGGAAACAAAGAAATGTGAACGTTTTAAAAATTTTATAAAGCTCCTTTAAGTTTCCATGAATGAAGACCCAGTTTCTTCAAACAGAAAAGCAAACATGGAGGTTGCCAAGAGATTATGTATGTATGTGAAGCTGCCGTTTAACAGATGACACCTGCACACACAGTCCCCAGTCCACTTACAGCTAGTGGTGGAAAGTAACTAAGCATATTTATTCCAGTACTATGCCTAAGTGCAGTTTTGTGGTATCTCTACTTTACCAGAGTATTCCCATTTTCTGCAAATTCATACTTGGAAGAGGCAAATCTTGTACTTTTTACTTCACTACATGTAGTTGGCAACTTCAGTTCCTTTTTGGAATCAGATTAATTAAACAAAATACAGTATAATGGTCAGAGCTTATTGGAAAATTTCAGCATTATGTAAAGTACTTCAAAAATATCCATCATATAAACATCAAAATAAACTTAAAGTACTAACAGTAACAGTAGAAATACACTTCACAGTAATGTCTCTGATACTACTGGATCATAGTGACTGATGTGTTACTGTGTCCATCACTTTAATGCTGCAGCTGGTAAAGGTGGAGCTGATGGTAACTACCTTATGTACTTATACTGTGAAGTACTTTCCATCCTGTCTCAAAGTGATGCTGAAAAACTGGTCCATGCATTTGTTACTTCCAGGCTGGACTACTGTAACTCCTTACTATCAGGATGTCCCAATAGTTCCCTAAAAAGCCTCCAGTTAATCCAAAATGCTGCAGCCAGAGTACTGACAGGAACTAGCAAGAGAGATCATATCTCTCCCATATTAGCTTCTCTCCACTGGCTCCCTGTAAAATTCAGAATAGAATTTAAAATCCTTCTCCTAACATACAAAGCCCTTAATGACAAGGCTCCATCATATCTTAAAGACCTCATAGAGCCTTATCATCCTAACAGAGCACTTCGCTCTCAGAGTGCAGGTCTACTTGTGGTTCCTAGAGTCCAC